ACTGACCCATTCCTCCACCATGTTCGAATGCAGACGATCATAACCTACATCGTAGCTGGGAGGATCCCCCCGGATCTGCTCGATGTGATCCACTCGTGCGGCGTGCGCTTTTACGAAGGTGCGCGGCAGCTAGCTCCCCCAGGCACATCGATGGCAGACTGACCTCGCTTTGTGGCGCATTCATCTTGGCAGGCGCTCTGATTGTCGAGGTGCACGATCACAGACCAGTCTTGGCGCGCAAGGCCGAACCAATCGATGTTCCAAAGTACGGCTTTCAAGATCCTTATGCTGCCGAGTCTACATCTGCTTCAGCCACTGCGGGGCGCTCTGGAGCATCAGCAGATCCCGGCTCTAGCAACGCTGCGCGCATGTCTATACCAGCAACAGGAGCTACTGTAGAGATCTACAGGCTGGTCCTTTGGCCGAACGATGAGACGCTGTGGGTAGACTTGCGTTTGATGGACACGCGCGAAGGCAAAGAGTGGAGTGACGAGGATGCGTTGCTGGTGGAAGCAAAGATCTTGGTGAGCTTGCATGCAAGTTCACACAGCTCCATCGGAAGCTGACGTCCGGCTCCACGCACCTCTTTTCATCCTCTCAGAACTTGACGAGCCCATTACTCTGTCTCGAGCCGGACTTTCAGGCCACGCGCATCGCCAACTTCATGATGAATGCCACTGCCAACCCAGCTTCGGAGCTTAATTTAGCCCCCTCTGGCACCTTTGGTGGTCCTATAGACATCGACCCCACCACGGGAATGGCGAGGCTGCCAGCAGCTGGGTCGAAGAGGAACTCGTCGCAGGCAGACAAGGATGAAGAGGATCGCATCAGACGAAGTAAGATCATGAAGCTCATGTCACAGGGTGATGATGACCAGCAAGATCGAGCTATGGCCATGCTAAGCGGTACTCCAAGCGCTACATTTGCCCCGAGGTGCGTGCAAAGGCTATGTATGCTCGATGTGCTCTTTGAAGCTGATCGTGCGTGGCTTTGTTCGGATCCGCCAAGCAGTTTCTCTCGCATGAACTTCATCTCGGACTGGCGAGCGAAACGCATGGCAGACGAAATGGCGAAGAACGGCCGTGCTCCCCCACCCGGGGCTAGTGCGAATGGTGGCAGTAATATTGAGAATGGTGAAGGCAGCTCAGGCGCCGCGTCGAAACCGGCTGCCAAGAAGAAGAGGAAGCGGTCGCAAAAGAAGAAGCATGATGATGAGGCCGAGAGCGACAAGGACGTACCATTAGCCGCAAGTACGTCCGCTGCACCAGAAAAAGCTAAGAAGCTGACCAAGAAGGAGAGAACGAAGCTTAAGGAGGAGCAAGAGCGTGCAGAGCAGGAAGAGAAAGAGCGTTTGGAGAAGGAGGCAGCCGCTGCCGCTGCTGCCAAGGCAAGCACATCCAAATCCAAGAAGAAGATTTCTAAGAAGCAACGCGAGAAACAAGATGCTGAAGCAGCCGCCCAGGTTGCTGCAGCCCCGGGAGCAGGCAGCGTGGAGAGCACTCCCGTCAAGACTGAGGCAAGCGGGTCAGGCAAGAAAGCCTCGTCGAGTTCTGC